ATTATTTCTTAAACTTCACACAAAACACCTCTTTTGGAAGGGGAAAAAGCAGAATGGAAATTAGAAAGGGAGGGGGGGGAAAACAGGATCCTGGTAAATGTAGCACTGAAGCTGGAAATGTGTGGCCCTCCAAGATGTTGTTGAATGGCAGCTCCCATCAGCTCTAAATAGGAAGGTCAATGGTGAGTGGAGATAGGACTTGTAGTTCAATATCTAGAGGGCCACATATCTGCCACTGCTGATACAGCAAGTATGGGGAGGAATCTGAACTGGACTACCCTTACATACCCACACCAGAGACTGATCTCCTTGGCATCCCCACTGCAGAAGCTACAGGGCACAATCGGAGAGCTTTCAGTGTCACTCCAGCCCATGACCAGGGTGACCAGATGTCCTCCTTTTCCAGGACATGTCCTACATTTCAACCTTCCATCCAGGAGGAATTCCAAAATATCCTCCATTTTGAACATGACTAAGATGCCCATTGACTAACACCACTTGCTGTCCCCCTTTAAGAAATGTGTCTACCTGGCAGCTTGGCCTCACTGCAAATAGGGGGATGGGATGGATCCTTCTAAAGTTATTTTTTCCTAGGAGCAGCAGTAAACAAGACCTGCCCCCAGAGTTTGGGGCTTGTTTGTTTCTTGGAAAGTAAAAGGACAGCAAATCTGTTAGGCAATGGGCTGCTTGAAGACACAATGCAAATGTTGAAAGTTCCCCCCCCCCTAAATTTCAGGACAATGAACAAATGAAAGGAATGATTTAAATGTAGGGTTTGTTGCTAGTAAATTACAATTTTAAGCCTTTGTCTTACTCGGAGTTCTAGATGTATATTGCAAGCCAACAAGGCATTTTAACAAAGATAAGTTCATTAGAGAAATATGGTTGAGTAAATAATAACATGCAGGATATTTAATATAGCTGTAAATAAACCACTTGAAATGATTTGATATTTCTATTAGTGTTTTTAGCTTTTATTTCGTACTGCCCTATATTTTTCTTGAATGTCCTACATTTTGTGATGTCTTGCCCTCCTTTGTGGTTATGACATCTGGTCACCCTGCCCATGGCTCATTTGCTGCTTCCCTTGAGAAGTAGATCTCTCCAACCAGCCCTGCTATGGGGCCCAAGTGAGCTTTGGCCTTTTCAGATCTGTGTCCGACTTCACAAGTTGCTCTCCCAGGTCCTGAATCTGGAACTTGCTCTCTGCCCCCATTCTGGGATGACTCCCCCTAAATTGCCATCCTGCCAAGGCTTCACTTAACACCTTGAGGGGCTTGACACAGCCGTGACAACACAGGAAAACCTGCAGAAATATTGCAGCCATTTACATCCCCGAGACAGGACTCCAAAAAGATGCATTCTCTCATGCAATGCCCATAAAACATGTGTTTTTCACTCTTTCTCTCCATTATCCCTAGGGATCAGTAATGGTGCAGGATTTTGCCTTTTCTCACGTACCCAATTCCCATAAATATGTTTGCTCCCCCTAATCTGCTTCAGTGCATGGCTGTGCATCCATCCCCAAATCCCTCCACTTGCATATGCCCACACCTGCCTCCATTACACACACATCTTATATATGCCTGCCTCAGATCTATACTGGACACTCACCCGCACGCACAGAAATGGAGCAGGCCTCTTTAAATCAGTCAGCTGTGACACAGCCCTCTCTTCAGAGCCCTGCTACCTTTCATTCTCCCCCCCCCTTCCAACAGCCCCTCTAGTGCTATAATATATAGCAGGTCCTGAATGCATTCCAGTAAAATCGGCCATAATGGATGGGCACTATTTCAGTCGAGGCTCCTCTTTATTGATTTTCCTTTAATGAAAGTTAATTATAACAATGATTTAATTAATAGAATTTCTCTCTTCCTTTATTGCTTCCCGCATTAGGACTATTAATAAATATGACCCAGACTGACAGCAGTATGAATCACAGCTGTGGAGTCCTGTCCCAATGGCCGCGCCTCCATTTCCACCACCACCCCTGCTCTCTTAATCCCCCCCTCCTATGCGTAGCTCCCAGCCCATAAAATTTACAAGGGTGGGAGGGTTAATAATACAGGAATTATTATCAAACTTTTACATTCTTAAGTAGGTTTATGAAATCATCTGTTGAGTTATGTCTAATGGCATCTGTGATGGCCAAGCAGGGAAGCCAGAGTTTGTGTGTGTGTGTATAAAGATACCCTACCTGGCTGGCGGGGGGGGGGGGGGGATGACACAGAGCAAAATTACATACAGCCACCCACATGCACACAACATGCTTGCCATCTGCTAAATCACTCTGTCCTAACCCAGAGAACTCCAGCTGTGTAACTCATATCATCCCAGTCAGCAGCAGGAAGAGAATCAGGTTGGTCGAGAAAAGCTATGCCAGACCTTCTGAATGTGATTTTTCTGTGAAGACTATATAGAGTCATAGAGCTGGAAGAGACCCCAAGGGTCATCCAGTCCAACCCCTTGCCATGAAGGAACTCACAATCAAAGCACCCCTCTGACCAGATGTCATAACCCCAAAGGGCCAGATGTCAAAACCCCAAAGGGCAGGGGTAGGCAACCTTTCCCCTTTAAGGGCCGAGGGACTTCAGCTCCCAGAAGCCTCAGACATGTTGGCCAATAGTCCCATGTTGGCCAATAGCTCCTGGGATTCTGGGAGCTGAAGTCCCTCAGCAATTAAAGGGGAAAGGTTGCCTACCCCTGCCAAAG